ATTGTTAGTGGGATTCCAAGATGGTGCAACCACTTTGAAAATCAGTCTGGCAGAAGAGACACTTTATCCTGTGAAGGCTGAATGCCCCAATGTAGGGGAATGGTCAGGAAGGCAGGAGTGGGTGGGTTTGCGTCGGAAGACCCTCATAGATGCAGGGGAAGGGGGCATGGTTTAGGGGTCTTGGGGGAGAACCTGGAAAGGGGATAACATTTGAAATGTAAATAAATAAAATATCCCATAAAATTTTTTTAGAAATTTAAAAAATTAAGTATATCACATTAAAAATACTTTATATATGAAATTCAGATTGAACTGGACATATAATCTATATCTCAAATCTTATGAATATTTTATAAACAAAAAAGAAAAAATGTGTAACTTGACAGTGACCTATTGAATTAATTATTAAATAATTAAATGGGAGGCAAGCATCTATGAATGGAGGCTTCAGAAATTCCTTCTTTAAATCATGCACTGTTTTCATTCACTTAGGGAATAATGGATTTTAGCCTTTTGCCTCTTTAAAGTTTGGAAATATGGTAAAACCATAGTGTGTCTATTTTAATATTACAATATATCAAATTATTTATTTGATATTTTAAATAATTTATAGTCATATTTTATGAATGAACCTAGTTATTAGTGTCTACTTGTGTATCAAATAAATATAGGTGGTTTTGATATAAATATAGTTACAAGGTAACTTTGGAGTTCCTGGTATGAACTATGATTGCCTGTTATCAATGTAACATTTAAAAATTTTAGTTACAATTGCAATGTTTCAGTGATATTTGATTTGAGTCCCAGTGTAATTTATTTAGAAGAGAAGGCAAAAATAAAGAATTAATATATGTTTATAAAACTAAGCTTGTTGAATACAAACAGTCTTTTAGAGTAGATTATACTCTTAGGTTATACTGTAAGGCAAATAGGAAATAAAGTATAAATTTTTGTAAATGTGCTAAAATGCACATAGGCTTAAATTTGTGTCAGAGCAAGCTATAAAAATGTGCTTTCAGACTTGGGAGGAAAAGATAGAACTGTGTGGTAAATTCAAGGCTGGCTTCCCCTATATAGATCTAGGTCAGCTTGTCCTAAACAGAACAAAAAATTGTGGTTGGTCTTTTTTCATTTTCATAAAAGTTTTTATATACTCATTTCCCAGTTTTCACTTTTTATTCCTAATTTTGGTTGAAAGACAAGATGCTTCAATTGATAAAGTTTATTTTTTTTATCATTTTTTATCATTCCAGAGATATTCCTAGAATACCTGATAGCACGCATGCACAACTGGAGTCCAGTAAGTTTAATTTATTCTAGGATATGTCGTTAAGCATGTTATTCATTAAAGATCTGGTAAATAAGTTTATATAGTAATATGGAATAAGATAAGTAAATTTATAGTCTTAAATATTAAATTATATAAGATGGAAAATTTCATAGTATTTCATGTCTCTGTTGAAAAATGTTCAAGCTCTGTAACCATTTCAGTATTTTATTTTACCCTGCTATGATTACTGTCGTTTTTAAGGATCTTTACTAAGGCGTGTTCTAATAAACCGCACATCAACTATACAGTTAGGCAAGTTTTGGCTGCCTATGTACCCGTCTCCCTAAGAAAAGTCATGACAGTTTTTACCACTTACAAAATCTACCTACTCCCATTGATTCCCACAAAATGTAAAGTTTGTAACTGTGTAACTCTGCTGTTTTGTAGAAGGGTATGCTTGGAAACATCTAGTGAATAGTTTTATTTGTTATAATTTTTATTTTTCCAGATTAAGATAGTAGATCTAATTTTATATCACAGCAGTAATGAAACAACCAACATATAAGTTCACCTTTGTTTTGTTTTCAACTACAATTTCCTATCTTAGATGAGCTCTTTTCTGATGAACTGTATGGACTAAGTGCAGCATATGAGGGACAATTTCCTATCTTAGATGAGCTCTTTTCTGATGAACTGTATGGACTAAGTGCAGCATGTGAGGGACAATTTCCTATCTTAGATGAGCTCTTTTCTGATGAACTGTATGGACTAAGTGCAGCATGTGAGGGATGTGAGGAGAGAAGATGAGTGTTGCAGTTTAAAAACAATGTAAATAAGATAGACAAAAAGCAAAGTCGTTTGGAAAAAACTTCAAAGAGTGGCTGTGGTGGCGAAAAGATTTGCAGGCACATAGGTACAGATACCTGGTAGTGCAGTGGTGTTAGGCAGGGGCCACTGATACACAGCTAACATGGGGGACAGCAGAGCTGAATGAAGTTTGCCAGGGGAAATTAGAATGATTCAGGAGCAGCAGCAGCAGCCACCTTGAACAGGTTTTAAAGCCTCTAGAAGGATGTCCACTTGCCCTGGGAGGATTCAGGTGCTCTGGGAAATGCTTTCGAAGAGCTATTTATATTTAACACTTGATTCTCTCATTAAAGCAATTGGATGAAGCCAGGTCTAAGCAAACTGAAGCTTAGAAATGTCACAGTTGTAATGGCAGTGGCAAGACAGTGACGGGCCTGGTCAGAGAAACTACACTGTAATAAAGACGCATTAGAATTATATAGTGCTACTGTCATTGGTTTTATTTTATTTAATACTTGCAACTTGGTGTTGCAGCTATATCATCATCATGATTCTTTTTAAAACTATGACGAAGGACAAGTTTTTCTCCTTATATTAGTAAGATACCATGAAGGCAATAGGAAACTCTTTTTTTTATTATGACTATCTAAAAAAGCCTCAGACTATGCTGGTAAACTTGTCCCTGGAGAGACAAGAATGTTAGTTCAATGTGGTTTCAAACTTTTATTCTTTAAACCGTAGACTATCTGCCTGCCCACAGACCACTCCTAAAGTTGCTCTTCTGGATACATCTGTAGATTATTTGCTCTATACGGTTTTAACTGCTGGCCAAGTGACTGCCAAAGTTACATTATTAAAAGCTGTAGATTATTTGCTCTATACAGTTTTAACTGCTGGCCAAGTGACTGCCAAGGTTACATTATTAAAAGATGCTATCATTATCTCTTCATTCCTGTGTGCTTAAAGAATATATTCTACTAATTTCCCTGTTATCCGATGCTTTGTAAGCCTTGTGAGATAACAAATTATCTCTACAAAGTCACCATTAATTTACTTCTAAATATTGTCAAAAGGCATAGCCATTACTTTTTGCAAGTAATGCAAAGCACCAAGCCTAAATTTGCACTTTTTCCTCAAAACTTTATGTGCTACACATTCTAGAAGTGAGTTTTACGCATGTGCATTTCTAACTAGGCATATGGTTCAACAGACTGACTTCAAATTCTAGTCTTGACTCTGATGTTTAGTCCTATTTATATGTTATGGGTTTACATTGTTTTTGGATACTCAAAGATGTAAATGTGGTTCCAAATGAAGTTCTACTGCCCCATCTCTCGTCACCTGTAACCATTTGCACAGTTTTCTAGATTCCGGTGAACATCAATGCAACAACTTTTTCAGAGACTGTAACTGGTACAAAGGTTACATACATTCTGTTCTGGATAATAGAGTCTCCTGCATTTCTCACATCTTTTGTTTCCCCTCCTACATAGTTGAAGATTGAACCTAGAGTGTCATACATGGCTGGCACGTGGCAGCTTTCCACTGGGCCGCGCCCTCAGTCCTATTGTCTGCTTTACTTTACTATCACCTGAAGTCCTTCTGCTGGCTCCCTTCACAGTGGAAACCACAATCCTCTTCTTAGTGTATACAGTCTGCCAATATCTTAGTATCTATTTCTGTTCACATTCCAACTGGGTCTGTCAACCGCTTAAAACGACAATCACAATGCAACATTTGGTTATTGCTGCTTCTGCTATTGCCTATCTTTTTCATAACCTCTCATAGTAATATTTTTATATCATACAAGACATAGATATGTCTTAAAAATTAGCCAACAACATTTAATAATTTTTGACATTTTAGTACTTATGTTCTTAGCATTTAAATTTTAGGTTTAGGTCATGAAAAAGGTTTATTATTTCGTGTTTTGTTTTTTCTTCCTTTTGCATTTTAAATATTTTCTCAATATAGAGTGTAAGTATAGATCAGATAATTGACAGGTAAGTTTGGAGTAGAGCCTGCTGCTGTTACAAAGTCGCACAGCACAGGTATAACTGTGGTTCTAAATCACACCTTGACAAAAGAAATCAGACAACAAAAACAACTGTCTGAAACAAAAGCAAAAATCTCACCAAAAACTCCTTAAGTGTATAGAATTATTGAAATAAAGTGGTCTATATAAAATGACACTTAAAGGACTTTGAAAAGAAGCATGTTAGTGTTCTGAAGTAGGAAGAGACGTTTCATTATTCTTTGTGTATAATTGTCATTTCAGGTTCTAGCTCATTTGAATCTCAAAAAATGGATCGTCCTTCTATCTCTGTTACCTCGCCCATGAGTCCTGGCATGCTGAGGGATGTCCCTCAGTTCTTATCTGGACAGCTTTCAGTATGTAATCACAAATTTATCTCTCTGCAAAGATTGAATGAGGCTTTTATAATATGATGCTAAGGGTTTTTGTTAGTTTGTTTTCTTTGTTTTTGTTTTGTTTGTAAGCCAAGTTCTTCCTTGAACATAATTGTGCATTTACCATTAGCTTTTTTTTTGATAATTTTTAGTTACTTTTAAAAAATTGGGTTATTTCTTGTAATGCTTTCTTAATGTGAAGTTTATAGAGTTTAATAATTTCATGAAGATATGTAATCCCTTTTTTTTAACCACCACAATATTTCAGAAGTTGGGGGTGATGATTTTTACTGTTTGCTTTTAAGTGACTGGTAATTGCTATTATTTTTTTAAGAGAGAGGAAAATGGTATGTCATACAGAGATTGAATTAAGATGGAAGTGAATATTTATGTAATCTTCTTTGCTTTTCAGTCTTAAGGAATTTTGGGGTTTATTTTTAATATTGTTCACACATATAAGCTTTCTAGAAATAATTTTTGTACAGCAGTCAAGACTAAATGATGCAATGTGGGAGATATATTTATTAGACTCCTATGTGTACTGAGTAACTTTTCATTTTGTGAGCATTGATTGGTATATTTCCAAGTTCAAGTTAAGAGTTTAATTCCAATTCTATATTGTATCCTTATTATGTGTGGTTTGCAAAGTTAAGTGCTTTCATTACATTATCATCCCCATATTAGAACACATGCAGCTTTATTGTCCTAGTAATTATTAATAAACTAGTGACTGTTAATTTGGAATTTCCTGAGTACTAAAGAAAAGAACTATTTAAGTTCTCAAACCCATAAATCAATACCATAAATTGGTATTGATTAAAACTGTGACAGCTAAAACCCAAACTATTGTGAAATTGTATTTTAACTTCCTTAGGCATATCTTCCTGTTAAGTCAGCTGGGGATTTTTCCTTTTAGTTTTAAGGGGAAATGGTTTTGGGGAGCACTAATGCTCATTAAGAGTTATACTTTGTTTTATCATTTAAAATTACAACATCATATACAAATTGTGCTAGAAGAGAAAGCTAGAAATACAGGGAAGGGATTTGGAGAAATTTTAAACTCAATTGATTTCCTCCTGATTCAAAATTAGTCTGGAAGTAGGTCAAAATTGCTAACGCTATGAGGGCAATCCAAGTTCATGTAACTGCAGCTGAATATGAAAAGCATATTCTCACTTTTATACCTCTGAAGGAATATATTCTATGAATTTAGTTAAAATGTTAATTGCATACATTTTGAAATTATACACAGATACACAATAAAATTCCATACAAAAAGTCAGGAATTATAAGTATGGTTCATATTTATTATCAGAAATCTAGTCAGTATGAAAACAAAAAGTAAAATCACCAATAAACTTAATACTACATGTGACTTTTTAAAGTACATGCACATATATTTTAAATAAAATTTCACATACTTTTGCATTCTTTTTTTCCTTACTTCTGTTTTTTTTTAATTAGAATTTTACTGTATAGTTCTAGCTAGACTGAACATCATATGTAGACCAGGCTTGGGTTGAAGTTCTGGTGACCTGTCAGATTCTGCCTCAGAGTTCTGGGATTATAAGTGTATGGCCTGAATTCTGTTTTTTTCTATATTAACTTATAGGCTTTGTAGTGTCTTTGAAAATTCCTCTTAACTTTACTTTCCAATCTGTAAGACTACATTTATCTTAATGTCTAGTTTTTAATATACAAATAATCATGTCACTGAAATACTTAGATACATATTAATATTTATAGTAAATTACTTTGTTAAAAACTTTCTAGAAGTAAAATTATAATACAAATGCTAAAGTATAAACTTGAAATTAAAAAAAATCTATTCTAGTCACAGCTAATATGTCAATCACCTATTTTATATATACATATTATATGTACACACATACATATAAGTGTATATATACATATAAGTTAAATTTCTAACAGAAATACTGGTTCTAGTCACCAGGTATATAAATGAACAAAATGGAATGCCTTTTATTACTATATAGTTTTTAATTTCATTCATGTTCTTTGTGTTAGGTCAGCATAAACAAAATGCTCTCCTGAGTTAGTTACAAGTTTGTATCAGCGTATAGGAAATTCTGGTTTAGTGCAATATTGTAGGAGTTTGCAGCTTGCCTACAAATGTCAGTTCTTTAGAACACTCTTAGGCAGTGTTAGTAGAACTTTCTCCCTTAGTCTTTCTCCTGCAGCTGTAATTAAATATGGTAAGAGCAACATAAGTAGAAAGAGTTTATTTCTGTATCAGGAACTTTAATTGCTCGTCATCTTACATTTACCAGAAAGCAGAGGGGATGTGGATATGTGTTAGTACTTTGCTCCCTTTCTCAGGGCCTCACCCAGAGAATGGCTCACTCATCCTTAAGATGTGTTTTCCCTCCTCAGCCAGTGTTAGATATCAAGATCGTCCTGACAGGCATGCCTACAAAATCATTTCTCAGGTGATACCTGATTCATTCAAGTTGATATTTTTCTTTAACCATCACAATTGGACCCCCATTTTCTGCCACCTTTGGACATATTTGCTTTTCAAAAGTTCTACTTGTGTTCATTCTTCATTAAATCACAACATTGCCGATGCCTCAGAACACAGAGCATTGTTTTTGAGGTTATTTTCCTACTATATTAGTTCATTTGCTGATATCTTTTCAAATAGAAAACACATGATTGATAGCTCTTGTTTGCATGCTTGTACTCAAATCAGTTGATTAATTTTTTAAAGGTGTGTATAATTAATTTTCTCCCCATGCTGAATCCTGTGACTACTTATTATTCTAGGACTTACCCACAAAAGAACCATTATTGTATTTGATGAGAAAATCAAAATGAACCCAATCAAGCTTATTCTTCCTGAATCCTGTTAGTCTATTGGCAGCATTTCCTTATCATGATTCTTCAAGTTCACAGTTTCTTCATTCGCAAGAGAACTTTTTTGATTCTGAATAGTTTTAAATATGCTTACCATATTTCGATAGTAGTTTGATAGGCTGTTAGGCTAAATACTTCTCATTCTTTTTCTCTAGGTGAGAAAGTCTTAGAATTCTTTTTTTTTTTCCTATAGAAACTCCTTATTGATTTTACTGATAACTTTTTGGTTTTTTAATTATAGTGTCTGTGATTTATTTATTGTTGCAAAAATTACTTTATCTTAATATTTTTTTTACATTTCACTTTTGCCAAATATTACAAATGTCAATTTTACTTACCCACTTAAGAATTGAAGAATTTTAGAATAATAGTATTTCATCTCTTCCTTTATGAAACATGAGAACATTTAAACATATTTCATGTATGAAGTTGTCAGTTTCTTTTAGTTCTTCCTTGCCCTTCTCTCCCCTTCCTTCACTCTATCATTGCCCCTTCTTCTTCCCTCCCTCCCTCCCTCCCTCCCTCCCTCCCTCCCTCCCTCCCTCCCTCCCTCCTTCCCTTTTTAATTTAAGACAATATATCACTATGTAGCTTTTACTGGTCTGAAAATGCTATTTTTCCAGACTAGACTACAACTAACAGACACTTCTGCTTCTCCATTGTGTTCTGGAATTAAAGGCATGCCATATATTTCTTTCAATTTTTATTGTTTTAATACTTTTATTAATGTTTTAATACTTAATTATAACATTTATGTTCTCCATGCATTGCTTGAAAAGCATGTCCTAAAGATCACAGTACAAGAAGTAGTGAAAAGTGACATTAGACATTCACAGGTTGGGGTGCAGTTTTCGAGTGCTCATCTGTATGAAGCCTTAGCTGTTACAGATGTGGCACACAGGCCATCCCCATGCCACTCAGACTCCTTACGTCTGTAGACTAGACAGCCAGAGCAGTAAAGGAATGAGTGTTTCTTGGGGAAATGGACAGCCACAGCGGTGAAGGAGTGGGTGTTCCCTGGGGAATGGACAGCCACAGCAGTGAAGGGGTGGGTGTTTCCCTTGGGTAATGGCTGAGGCTGAAGCTGGAAATGGAGACTTTCACAGCTTTCCAGGGCAGTGATTGCACCTGAACTTGAAGGCTTTAAATGGTTCATTGTATATTTTGTATATTTTATATCATTAAAAATGTCATCTATGTACAGACATATAGTTATTTTTAATGTATAAACTCATGGGTAAACATAAGGGTTAAAATGTTTTTAGAAATCTGATAGATGCTTATTTCAGGTTGTTTTAGATAATGGAAAACTGTTTACTATAAAGAATTAATTATTTTGAAAATATTCTTTTTAAAGTACAGCCTTCATTTTATGAGGTAAAATATCTTTTCAAAGATCTCTTTTCTTGGCATATTTTATTTCACACACTGTAGAGCTGTGAGCAGGGAAAATGAAATCTCTAAAGCTCCTCGCCCTCAGCACTTGAAGTTCATGTGTGAAGCTTCACACCCCCTGACTCGCTAACGCTTTCTCCCATGCAGATTTATGCAGACAGACGTTTTTTTTGTATCATGTTCCATATCTGAACACTTCCTCTTTGAGGCATAACTTCTTTTGAAAAGGAAGTAAACGCAGATTTGGTACTTACTTCATTTTTGGAGAGAGAAAGGCAACTCCTGGTGACCAACAGTCTGCTGTGAAGGTTGTTTTGGATTTTAGATTTGTTTCTTATCATGCCTGTGTAGTGATCCTGAGCCTGGCATAATCTTGCCCAGTACACATTACCAGTTTCAGTGACAGTGGGAAAGACAGAAGGAAAACCCTTCACGGTCTGTGACAAAAGTGAAGATGCTATGGAATCGGTTGTTGGGGAGCAGGATGAAATGGTCTTCATACATTCTCAGACTCCCTGTGCGCCAGGCTTATTCTTGACCTATCATTGACATCTATGACCTATGAGTTAGGTTATTATGAGTTTTTAATTCTCAGAAATGGTTTTAAGATAAAAGCTTAAAAAGTTCATAAGAGAAATGTGATGTTCTTTCTGAGAATTATGTTTTACTTCCTGTGTATACTATACCAGTCTTTGAGCATTTAGACGTTCACCTAGACCTTTCCTGTGTATTTTCTTCACTTGCGTGTTGGGGATTAGAGCAGTGACTTCTCACAGTTGTTGGGAATATCGTGTATTAAAGATCATGCAATAAATGTTTAGGAAAAATAAAGAACTCGAAGTAAAAAGCAATGACTGAGACAGTGTTGAGACGGTACTGAGACATGATTGGGAGTTAACAACATCTCAAGCAAAGCATCCTGCGTTGGGTCCAGAGCCTTCCCTCCATCTTGCTTAACTGATCTTAATCTATGGACAGTTAGGCTTCTGTTTCAGTAGGTTTCATATGCATACACTTATATAATTCTGGATCAATTTTTTAATAAATCTATTGAACAGCTATAGACTTTTATATTATAATTATTTCTTAAATAGCAATACATCAACAACTTGTAGCATTTACATTATATTTCATATTGTAACTAATCTAGAGATGGTTGACAGCTTTTGAGACCCTGTATGTTTTGTTCGTATTTATGCCATTTTACATAAAGGATTTGAAAATTGATGGGTTGGTGTTTGTGGATATGCTGGGACCACGCACCCATGGATATCATGTGCTGTAGTGTGTGGAAGGGTAAAATTGTAAATTTCTTGTTTTGGTGGTTATCCTTTAGTCACTTTTAAAAATTATATAATCCAATGATCTTGTACATTCAGTCTTAATTCCTATTATATTAACTATGTTTTAAGAATATGATTAAATAAATTGTAAACATTTTAGAATGTTTTAAATAGTTTTCATTTATATTAACACATAGAAATATTTATTTTTATAACAAATTAATTTAAACATATTGTCATGAGAACATATTTAAGGGATAGTTTTATGTGTTTATTTTTACTTTTGGTCTTTTAGTTCCAGCATATTGTCCTCTTTGGTTTTGTTTTATTGCTTTTTTCTTTAATTTTGCTTACCAGAGCCAAAGCCTTAGTAGAAGAACAACGCCTTTTGTTCCTAGGGTTCAGGTAAAGGCTTTGTCTGCCTGATAGAGACTAAAGTTGTGTTTTATCCCTTATTTGTATGTTTTGGAAAATGCGTAGTAGGAACACTTTTTTTGGTATGTTGCTCCATACTATTGACTTCCAAATCATTTTATAAGGCAGCTTGTAAAATTCTGCATGGAGATTAGAATATTGAATACGAATTTAAAGAGACAATTCCTGTTAGTTATTTTGTAAGTTAATTAAGTACTCAAATGTATAGGCTTCAAAGTGGCATTCCAATTTAGCTTTCATGTAGATTTTTGCTTAACTCTGTAACATTTACTGAAGTAGCTAATTTTAAACTCTAGATATTTTGTTTTATTACACAAGTGTTGCTGTCTCTTTAAATCATTCATTATACCACATCACATCCACAGTCTCTTGCATTTTCCAAGTGATAACTCCTTGAGATTGGCAAATATATTTGTACCTTATTTAAAATACAATTTTTTTGCATTTATTATATTAGAATCCCACATTTGGAGTTTGAGAGAACAAAAATCGTTATCTAAATAATATATATATTATTTTGTTTGTATTCTATTATTGCTTTTGCTTTTTTTTACATACTACTTGGGTACAAGTTGTTTGCCTCTTTTCATTAGGACTTTGTTTATATGGTCCAGTACGCTAATATAGTTATCCTAAAAGTAGTAATATGCCTTCCCTGCTTTGGTGCATGTTTTTAAATAAGTTGTTCGCTTTGAATAACACTTTTAAATAACTAAAATAGCAATTCTACTTAATATTATATAATATAAAATATTGATGTTTGATGCTAAAGTTTTGTTGTGAACAATTTAAACGGGATACAGAGTAAGGATGCAAAGAAAGGATAGTCATATTAAACAATTAAAATGATACAAATGTTTTTATTAAATTAATTGAACTTAATTAATTAAGGCTTGTCATTGATAGAATTGTGAGTTATATTTGTTATATTTTGGGGAATAAATAGTTATACTTTAAATATTTATTTTTAAAACACAGGTTTAAGAATATTATTAATGACATAGATCATAAAATATTCTTTGGGCTGGATATCTATTAAAAACTTCAATGTACTCCTTAATAAAATTCAAAATTATGTCTGTTATTAGATGCTAATTTCAAGACAACTTCTGAAAAATTCTAATTTTGATCAGATGTAATGAGATCGGTTCCTATTTAATAGTATTAATACTAATATATTTGGACAGTTAATTTAGGTAATAACATACTGATGCAGCAGTATGAAAGCAATGATGCTAATGTCTGTCTACATCAGAGATAATGTTACATCATAGCACTTGGCTTTACAGGGAAATCTGAAGAATAAACTTTTTGATAAAAACATTAAGCCTGTTGCCATTATTGATGTGAAGAATACCTAAATTAATCTGGGTTTGATCACAGGTTTTAGAAGCTATGACACTTGTCTACAGTTCCTTCATCCCATAAACAAACATTTGAATTTCCTTATTTTTCTCTCTTAGCTTTTGTCAAAAGAATAGTTTATTCTCTATGTTTTCTAATCCTTATCTATACCTGTAGTCTAATATTGCTAAGGAAGCAAATTTAAATTTTTTCCTTTCTTGGTTTGAGTTAGTCCCCAGGCCCTAATCAGTTTCTGGTCATTTGATGTCTTCCTAGAGGCAGGGTTTTGCTCTGTGGCCCACATAGCTTCAAACTCATTATATAACCCAGATTAGCCTAGGTCTGTAGGTTGGTCACATTTCTCTTCCATTGGTCTTCCCAGTGCTGGTGTTTCAAGTACGAATCACTGTGTTTAACCATGAGACCTCTTTTTCTGTGGGATGGGGTGGTGGCTATTGATCCTTTGTATTAGAGCTCTGATTCTTAAACTTCTAAAATCTAAGTTTAATTCATAGGTAAAAAGCTAGCCTAGAAATTTATAACTTTATAAATTTATGAGCCAGATAATAGCAGACTGTCAGATATTTATTAAATATGGCTTTAGAAAATCTTGTTGAGGTCTGTTTTTGAACTTCTTAGCTAGTAGAAAATTCTAGTTATACATAAAAGTGGATAAAACCACTTTAAAAATTGAACCAATGAAACATGAAAACTAGTAATAATAAGTCTTATAGTTTGGATATCTCTTATTCTTATTTCTGTAAGAGGCCTCATCTCTTTTAGCCCCAACAAGGCAAGAACAGAAATAATTGCATATACCCTTTTAATCTGTTGGTCTACCTCTTCTGACCTCTTGAGTTAGTTAGCCTCTGATGTTCTGGAATATATACAGAGGAACCCAGCAAAGCCATTGCGGAATTGGGACTGAACTGCCATACTTCATGTATAAATAAATTTGTGAACCTGAAGCTACAAATTTTTGGTTCCACTTCAGTTCTTAGCTGGTTGTAATGTTCCTAAATCTTAGGTAATGCATGGATCTTTTACAGATCCTGATTGAGAGGATACTCGTTGAGCTAGGGGTGAAGGTTTGAAGTCGCGGGAGATGATAACTGTTAAAAGACTTTAGGAACAGGATGACAAAGTGCTAACCCCTAATTATGATATTGCAACATTATACACATTTTCTTATTTAAAATTACAAAATACAATTTTATTATTTTAAGATGTCATGTGTTTTTTCACTGAAGAAGGAACTATGCCTCTAAAAATTTTTAAAGGTGAATTTATTATAGTTTTAAATACAAAATAAGGGAATCTATTAAAGCTACTAGTAAGCCTTCTTACATCTTCTGAAATCTGTCTTGCTATGGAGACACAAACATTTGCTTGAAAATCCCCTCTGAATACCGTTTACTCGTTACTTTCAACATACTGCATTTAGAACATGTATTTCCAAGGCAAAGGTAAACAAAAAGAACTGTAGGGATTCCTAAATGAAAATAGATGTAGAGAAATCATTATGTACAAATTACGTAATACAATAGTGAAATTATTAAATGTTCATTAATAACTCATCACATCAGGATAATAAAAACAAAGTGATTTATCAATGAAACTGAGACATCAGAATCAATTCATTCATTGAAGTTATTATAGTATATCCTTCTATTTTAACAAATCCCAGTTTAATGGCGAAAATGTTATCTCTCATAATATTAGTATTAGAGGACGGTATAAAGATTCGAAATGCAAACATATGTTGATAGTAAATTTTGAACTGATAAATTAATGTTTTTGCTTTTCAGATAAAACTATGGTTTGACAAGGTTGGTCACCAGTTGATAGTTACAATTTTGGGAGCAAAGGATCTCCCTTCCAGGGAAGATGGGAGGCCAAGGAATCCTTATGTTAAAATTTACTTCCTTCCAGACAGAAGGTAGGGATTTTAAACTAAAACATACATGCTCTTAAAAATAAGTGGGAAAGCAAAGACTGTTTTGATCTGTATCATTCACTGTTTTGTGTCAACAATAATATACTTGTGAAATTTATAAATATAATCATTCTGATGTATCAAAAATGACAGTAAGTATTTGAGATTATTTTAAAACTTTGCATTTACTATATATGATTTTATTTAGCTATTTGGTTTAAACACCTGCATATTATATTTCTTAAGTAATATATTTTATATGCCAAAATTATTAAAATTTATTTTTTAAATAAAAGTTTTAATATAGATTGTTTAATCTGGAACAGAACCTAAATTGTTTTCATATTCTTCTTCACTTTCTACCTCTTAACCATATTGATTTTTGTTTGTTTGTTTTTGTGATAACTACATTACGTAACATTAACAGGTAGGTTTTCATCACCTATATTGTCCAGCTACCACTGGGCCTAAAATCACTGCCTTCAAGGACCGTATTTTGATTTTTGTCATGAATTATTTTGTTCTACACAGATTTTAAAGGCATTTAGGACTGGAGAAATACTTCAACAAAAGTAATCTAATCACTCTTAATTTTAGGCTCATCAGAATAAAGGGACTTCAGCAAGCATGGTGAAAATGAAGGAGGGGCGGTATTTCCCATTCTTCTGTCTCTCCTTTCCAGGGATTTGTTTCTCTCACCTTAGTCATTTTTAGGGTTGGAAGTGGCTCTGCACACATCTTCAGTTTGTTTACACACCTTTGGTCCATAATTATTTTAAGCAGAAAGTTCCTCACAGTTGAGTTATATACTTGTTAGAAAGAAGTTCATGGTCACAAAAAAGAGAGCACTACTCCAATTTTTGTGTTTTGGAAAGGCAGATTTAACTCTTGATCAAAAGAGCTCTGAAGAGGGGACATACCAAGACAGGAAGTAAACTTGTGTTTTAGTCTAATTCTTGTAGTGACTATGTCTTTCCCCATTGACTGGGTGGGAATCTCACTGTCTTATTTCATTGACTAATCGGAAATAAACTGGCTCATGGGAAAAGGAGCTGGAAAGGAGACCATTGCTCCAAACAGAAAAGAATCATTGCTCCAGGCCAGGCGGTGGTGGCGCACGCCTTTAATCCCAGCGCTTGGGGGGCAGAGGCAGGCAGACTTCTGAGTTCGAGGCCAGCCTGGTCTACAGAGAGAGTTCCAGGACAGCCAGGGCTACACAGAGAAACCCTGTCTCGGGTGGGGTGGGGGGGGGGAAGAATCATTGCTCCAGGCCATGAATTCCCAGAATTAAGCTGGACCTGTGAGTGAACAAAGAGTTTAGTTAGTATAGGGGTTAGAACATTTACATAACAGTTTTACAAGGTTGTGTTCCCTGACCTAAAGTCAAGATTTATGTTTGAGCATCATCTGAGCAATCTAGCAAAGAGACAAAGGAAGCAATTGCATTTTACTTGATACATTTTAAACTGTAAGTATAAAGCAAGTGCTCCAGAATATGTTAGGATTTCACAATACTTAGAGTTATCAGAAGTTTCTTGCTATATAATTTTATGTTATGAAGTTAATTTGAAAAACCTCTGACAATGTAGACTGTAGAGGTTTGTTGAGAGGTACATTTTGAAATACAAGAAAGAAAAAATGTATGCGTAATTGAAGTGGCCAGATAGAACCTAAATTTTGGCTGAATGATAGATATTACAAACCAAATTATCATAGTACCCTGGCAGTTACATTATTTGAGTCCTTAGTACAGAGAGGCTTATTGCTATACAAACCCTGAGGGTGAACTGACATAAACCATACCAAATTTTGCCTTTTTACTGAGCCTTTTTTCTCAAGCTATTTGGTAACACCAATTGATACTTTAAAAAAAATATTATATTTTTAAATTATACTATTTCTTCATGTGGTATGTGTGTAAATGATTGTGTATGTGTGTGTGTGGTTTGTGTCCTTAACATGGCACTCACATGAAAGTCAAAACAATTTGTGAGAGTCAGTTCTCTGCCTCCTCTATAGGTCTGGGCATTGATTTTGGTTGTCTGGCTTGGGGAGGAGCATGCGCCATAACCCACAAAGCCATGACACCATCCCACATTTTATTTTTAAGAGGCTGAAAGTTTACCAATTTTTTTCTTCATTAAGTTTTTTTATTTAATTATATATTACTTTGCCTAATTTTTCTTCTTTTTGAACAAAATAATGGGTTAAATTAAAAGCATCCTTTCATACCTTGTTCTCTATATTCCAAGTATAATGTTGAACTTTATTTTTAAGCTCAAAGAATGTGAGAGATATTAGAGCCTTTTACTCAGGTCATTTCTCAGCTGAGGTACTTGTCAGATGCCAAGTTTAAGAACAGTTAAATACTTTTCAAGCTTACATTGTTGACTGAGCTATATTATAGTTTAATCTTTAATAGGGAATTTTTTTCTACAATACTGAGAAAGTTGAATTTTTATACATAAATGAGATAATAAACATTAACTATTAATTTATTTTTTCCTGATAATTTTTAAGGAAGATATCATTGAATAGATGAAATCACAGTTGATATTTAATTAATAAGACTTCTTGGAGCTTCAGTGAGGTATAGAAGTTAGATCTGCTCCAATCATGGCAGTCAAAAAACATTTTCTGTATCATGTTCTGTAAAGGTAATACTCTGAAGTAAAGTTGGTTATGACCACAAGTATATTTCTTTCCTTTTTAAACTGAAGTTTTTTGCTTGTTGTTTTAAGTTAAACAGAAACCCAAAGTGCTAAAGTGAAAATTAAGCTCGTATAGATTTCATTGAACAAATGTTTACTGTGTTGCCTGCAGAGACTAAGGATTTATTTTAGTCTTAGCAACCTATTTAGAATATACCTGCATAAATTAGTACTTGATTTTAAATACAATTAGTAAATACAGTGATTGCAATTTGATGGTTTCAGTTACATTTTTTAAGAAAAGAAAAATTCATTTCTTTTTACTTGTTGACAATAAGATTTTGTTCTGGGGAGATGGTGGTGGCACTTTCAAAGAACTTGTGTTTGTGAAGGACTTCTTTCAGAAAGCAGTCATGCCTCTGCTCACTCTAGGGATGCCTTCCTAACAGGAGAGCTTTGCCTCCCAAGTCTCCAGTCCAGCTAATGACTTATCTTCCCGCGTCCTTCAGATTTCAGTTCTCATTAGAGTCAGTTCTTCACTTCTCATCTTAAATCTTCTATTTTAAAATGTTTATTAACGTTGAACTATATGTTAAAATATATTTTAACATATCTAATGACATAATAAGGCATGTATGTAATTTATAAATATGATGTACATATAAATGATATGTATTCAGTTAAAAATATTTCCGAACTAAAGATAGTCCATCAAAGTAAGTATGAAAGCCTCCTAGCTATAAGTCCTGTCTGTCAACATAATTACCCTCTGTTTCCATCAAACATTATTTTGGCTACCTTACAAAGAAGCAGTATTCTGTGTCTTTAAAAACAGGGTTTAGAGTTTTCCCTTTCCTTCCTTCCTTCCTTCCTTCCTTCCTTCCTTCCTTCCTTTCTTTCTTTCTTTCTTTCTTTCTTTCTTTCTTTCTTTCTTTCTTTC